CTTCCCATAAGACGTGTTCAAAGTTTTAACTTTCCCTTCAGAGGCTGCCACAGGGAATGAACATTTGATAATTTTTTCACTTCAATAAGGGAAATACCGTCACACAAGATGAATACCATCACAGATGAAAAGTTCATCTTCTACTCAAAGCACTTTTATTATACAGTATATGAATAGAAAACATACCTGAAGATTACCATGATAAAAGCCTATGAATATTAAGATATAACACAGCTGATACACAGTTGAGTTTCCTTTAATGACCAAGTTAATGTATTAGGCATTAAATCTGGTTTATTCCCCTTGAGACCCTTGGTTAGGGGGAAGGTCAGTAAGGACATCTATCAAATTTCCTAATGCAAAAGAGATAATTCTTAGGTATTATTTGTTTTGTCCACATTTTTTCCTTTTGGAACTTCTAAAATTTTTTGCAGTTGTCTCCTCTTAGCTTGCAGTGTGCTAACAATGACAGTGCAAACCACACATCTCCTGTATCGGGGGTAATGATTAGAGGACACTTTACATCAAATGTCAAAGCTAACATTGCATCATTGTTTACAGATGATCATAGAAGATTTTCTTCACTATTTCTTTAGTCTGATCTTCGGGGATTCTGTTTACTACTCTATTTTCACATTTGTTTTTAATCACACTGCAGATGATAGCAAACATTGGGTAACTTTTATTTATAACCCTTCTTAACAGTATAGCACACATGGATGCAGAATGAATATATACACATTTTTCTGTTCTGCTTCAAGTCTTTGGTAATTTTTATTTTTAGAGACATTTAAAAACACTACATTAACTTTTAAAAATATATCAGTACCAAAGCCTGATACCCAGTAGTGCTGGTGTGTGCAGGGCGTGGCTAATGTCACCCCTAAACATGGTGGGGAAGAGGTGCCTCAGGATCTCTCGTCACCCACAAAGCCAGGGTCTCGGTAGTTACCCATCTTTGTAGTCAATTTTAGTTCGATCTAACAAAGATTTTCCTGAGCTTCTGCAATATGCTGGGCACTGAGCCCGCTGCGGGGGACACACTGCTGAGCCGTTCCCTACTCCTCCCTGGATGAGTCGGTGAGAGGAACCCTCTCTAACTGGAGGGTAGGATTTTGTCCACTTGCTCTCTGAGTCAGCAGTTACTGAGTTTGGTGTGTGAGAGGAATGGTGTCATGTTGGATAGAGAGGATACTTCAGACGGAACCCAATAATAGAACCTAAAGAAAATATAATTTAGGTGCGTGTTTGGTAGAATCACTATACCGTAAAGTGACTTAAACCTGGGGCATCGATAGTTTTTTCAGTTCTTTTTTCTTTTCTTTATGTAAATGTAGTTGGCATACAATATTATATTAGTGTCAGGTGTACAACACAGTGATTCAACATTTATACACCTCACAGTGTGATCACCATGAGTCTAGGGCCCATCTGCCACCGCAAAGTTACTACAGTACTTTCAACTGTTTTCCCCGGGCTGTACATTCTATCCCCGAGGCTGATGTGTTTTATAACGGGAAGTTTGTGCCTCCTAGTCTCCCTCACCTTTTTTTTCCATCTGCCCCCACTCCCACTCTGGTAACCATCAGTTTATGCCCTGTACGTATGAATCTGTTTCTGTTTTATTTTAGTTCTTTAAATATAACTAAGGCCCCACTTCTTATGAATGTACCCTTTAGATTTACATATTGAATAGTGGGTCACAAAGCTACTAGTAAAACTTTTATATCCATTATGTATGTATGTATGCATGCATGTAAACATATATTTTACTATTGGGGCTAATAACTCTTTTCCCTTTGTGGAATTTCCTGTAGTGCTCTCCAGTGCCGAGGTAACAGAACATTTCTTCCCCACTCCTTCCCCAGCCATGGCAGTGCCGTGTTACTGACTGAGCTGTATGTAGCAAGTCTCAATGCTCATTGAGGAGCGTTTGTTAAACAGCAAGGTGAAGATGTGGTTTTCTTCTCTCATCTTGGGGGTCTGTATAACATATAAAGAGACACAAACACTTGCAACTACTGCTGTAATGTCCGTTTCCGGTGATTTAGGGGAGGATTGTTAATACTGCAGCTTTTGCATAGACAAACTTTGCTTTCAACTTCTTTTTGATATTGTCATCTAGTAAGCTTTTTTAAGTAGCTTGAACTTGACATCACTATCTCTGCTTAATCTTCAAGGCCCTGAAAGAAATGGTGTTTTGAGCCCGAACTCTCTAATTTTCTCTGGTTTCCCCACAAAAGCTGTGAGTGGGAGCACAGCAGGTTTAGGAAGGGGAGCGGGGAGAATCTCACTTTTTCTTATGCTGGCGTTACTATGAAGTGGCACTGTGCATTCCTGCGACCAGATGCAGTTTCCTGGCAAGCGGCAGGAAGCAGAGAGCAGTCCGATGGGAAATGGGACAGGGAAATACAACTAATCTCCATGTCATAATTTTATGCTTGGTTTCACCTTTCAAGAAAGTATTGTAAATGCCTAGAACAATAAGATAGAACTAAATTAGTATATGCGATATAAAAACACACTGTCAAGCTAAATAGAATTATTAAAAATCATTTACCTGTGGAATTATTAGAACCCCCCACTCCCCACCACCTTTAGGCTAGCTAAGTGGATTCTAGATGGAATAGAGGCCTGTATGTGTCTCCTTTTTTATAAATTAATTTTGTCAGACACGATGAAAGGGCTTGGATGCTTTAAGAAGAATGCAGATACTACTGGTTGCCAGACACCACTTACCTGGCAGCCAACACATCCTCCAGTTGTGAAGGGATGAACACGACACATGAGAAGATGACAGAGAACTAAGAGAAGTGAGCATGCCTACCAGCTGGCGTTATAATCGAACAAAGGTTAAAGTGATGTGGAGATACACCTATGATTTACACAGCCATTCTTGTGTATGCTGCTTAGTAACGGGCGGACAGATGACTACAATTATAAATTTTATACAACCAATCTAGAAAAATGACTTTGAGACCCTAATGAAGACCCTAAATCTATAGCGAGGGCCAGCACTCCTTTTTCTGATGCAGGAATTGCTGTCCAGGTGTGAGTGACACTGGCTGACAGGTGGCTCTGCCAAGGACCCTGGGAACCGGGACTTCGGTCTCAAGTCTCAGTGGCCTGAAAGGGCAGCTCTCTTTCCCACAGTAGAATTTGCCCCCAATCCACTGAAGAACAAATACCAAGCAAAGTAAGGATCAGGGAATTGAAAGGAGGGCAGGAGGGAAGGAGCAGGGCGGGGGCCCGGGGAAGCGCGGCCCTGCGGCCAAGGACCAGAGGTGCCCCTGGATCTGCTTCTGCAGGGACCCTGCCCCAGGAGAGCACTGAGAGGTGTGAGGTGGGGACAGTCACCCCTCCAGGCATTTCAGGGGTGCTCCATACATCAGGTGTGTGTGCGCTTAACCAGCAAATACTCTTGAAGGCCTGGAGAAGGAGTGAGAGCAATTACTCACTTCTAAGTGTTAATTAATGTCTTCTTTTGATTTTCTGGACTCCTGCCTTGCTGAGGTAGAGCATGGGACACCGTCACCAGGGATGTGATGAAGGCTCTTGAGGAGCTTTTGGCAACCAAGTGGAAAATGAGAGGATTGGACCCCTAGGAGATGGAGGGAAAAGGCATTGGGTCAGGAGGGACCAGAGGGGTCAGAAAAATGGGAAAGGGAATAAAGGAAGGTAGTAAGAAGATAAGAGGAAGAGTGTGGGTATAACTTGTGGGCTGCGATCTGTGCATTGCAAAGTCAAAGTGTGTGCGAGGCATTCAGATGGCCTACAGGTGGGCGCGCTGCCTGGTGGAAATTACGCTGGGAACTTAACTGGCAAAGGAATGCACATCAATCAAACGTGCATAAGAGCGATGGCTGCCTCAGGTGTCAGTTTCTTCATTCAAACCCAGGAAGAGCTATGCAGTTCTGACCCATGAGCCATCATCAGCACATCCCTTTAAATGGGTGCTGTTATCTGTAATGCTACTGGCCCATACCTGACAATATATCCTCCTCAAAGTCCTTTTGCTTCTCGTGCTCTGTGGTCTATGGTCTGCTGTTCTTGCCAAAGGCTCAGTCCTGCTCTCTGTGTTTTCCTTACAACGCACTTGTTCTTGTTTGATCACAGAATGCCCGTTTTACTAACGGACTCCGATACCTGTAGGTGTATTCCATCAGAGAGACAACGTGCAGCTAAACTGTGGCAACCCTCGATCAACCTGAGTTTTGGCCTTTATTGTGTTTTTGCCTTAGCCTAACTTTTGGGCATTCAGGGCTTTAAGAAAGAGTCAAAACTGTATGTTTATGAAGTCATAATCTCCTGACCTCATCCTATGTTAATGGCAAGAAAGCATTCATAAATGGTGATGTATTTCTTACTGGACCTTTACAAGCCACTGTAAGGAGAAAAATGTACATAAAAACACATAATGCTTTATAGTCCTACAGTATAAAATGGAGTAATTTTAGTGCCCTAAACTACATTGTATCCTATGCATTCTCTTTACTAAAAAATACACATAGTGACAGCTGGGTGGGAAGTGGGGGGTGGGTGGAGGGACTGAGCAAAGAAGGGGAAGGACTCATGGACACAGACTACAGGGTGGTCATTGTTGGGGGCAGGGGTGTGTAAGGGGACTAAATGGTAGTGGAAAATAATACAGTAAACATTAAATAAAAATTAAACAGAAAAATTAGTATGTTTTATGGATCTGCATAAACTTTTAATGTAATTTAAGAAAAATTAGTGCCAAAAATGATACTTCAAAGATAGCCAAAGATTCAGAATACATTGGGTTACTAACATTCCACAAAGACCTCATTGTCAGGTTTTCTCATTAGTCTATGGTCCCTGACAACTTGGGGAATATTACAAATAAATTTCATTGTCCATTAACAAAAGGACGGCTTATCTTGACAACCGAGTTCCGAGTGAGATGCCACACCCAAAACCATCTGTGGCACATAGAACCCAAGTTAAGAAATAAAATAAAAGCGTAGAAGTTCTTTGCGTCAGTAAGCTCTGCGGCATTCGTACGACCCCCACACCATGTTCCCATCTTCTTTGGTCCATGGTGAAGGGCCCTGAGGGGCAGAGGCATCTGCCCCCTCATCTGGGGCCAGGGGCACCGCCTTGGGTGGTAGGTCATTGGACATCGCTGTGAAGGAGGCGAAGGAGTACGGGGGTGGGGCAGGGTACCCAGGGGTGTGATACAGATCCTCCAGTGCATGCAACGAGTAGGACTGAGCCCCAGCCATGGGGCTCCCCCAGCTGGAGTTCCTGTGCTGGGGGTTGCCGCTGGACTCCAGCTGGGAGAGGCAGCTCATGCTGGGCGGCAAGGTCTGCAGGGCATCGGTGGGCACAGGATCCAGCGGGCTGAGGCTGTCCGTCACTGTCTGCTCCCACGAGTCTCTCTGAGGAGAATGGAAAAGGTTACTGGGGTTAGTCAAGAGATGAGACTCTGGTGCGGACAGATTTGCTCCCCCACATGGCGTGCTGCGGGACCGAGGCCTCCGTACCAGGCAGCTTTTCCCTCTGGTGACTGACACCAGCAGCGAAGGTGTTAGCTCCCTTCTTACTCCAGAATTAGGTTCTCCGTATGTATTGAGATTCTTTTCCCCAGAAAACAACATTAAATGAGTGGAATGTGAGAATAATAAAATAAACATTTATATAGCATTTTGACCTTTACAATGCACTGTGTCTGGCATTCTTTTTGAACTTCACAATACTAGGTGTCCTGGAACGCCCTTTCCAAGTGGGGAACAGGCCAGGGGCCCCTGGAGGGAGTGGGCCTTGGAGTGGGCTGGGGAGACCATCTGATCTGGGGAGCAAAGCTGTAGGAATCTCATTGGCTTGGAGCTGGCAAGATTTGGGGTTCCGCTCTTGGCTGTGACACCTACTAGCTTCCTGATTGAGCATTTCACTTGGTTCACAGTAAGATGAGGCTTTAGTAATGATATCCTGGGAAGTTGCAAATAGTAAATGACACCTAGAAGCTCCTGACTGGAATAGGTACTCAGTAATGTTAATCCCACCCTGCCTCCACCCTCCTTTTGTCTAAAATTCCACCTTTAGAGAGATTCATTCCTTTGTGGTTGAAGGCCTTCCAGTTTTCTACAAGGAGGATGTTAGTGTTCTTCAGATCTTTATGGACGGCTCTTAGGAAGGGCTGGGAATGAACGAGGTTCTATTAGGGTAGAAGTGCTGTGGAGAGCAGAGGGGGACTGCAGTCTAACCTTGTCTGAGATTCAACTTCAGGGCTCTTCCCTTGCCACTGGAGGAATGGTGGGAGACCATTTGGTCAAACCAGCAGGGAATGAACCCAATGGATATAAATCCGGCCTTGTTAGTCATCCCCGCCCAAGCCCCTGGATTAACCCTCCTGCTGCCTTGGGTCGCACAGATCTCTGAGGGAAGGAGGCTCCCCCGGAGAGTATCCTGGCTGCCCTGGCATCTCCAGGGCAGACGCAGAACAGCCTCAGGGGTGTCCAGGGCCAGCCAGGCCTGGCTTCAGCCTGGTTGCCAAGCGCTTGGGCTGGTGGGACTGCCTAAGCCCTCATCTTGGTGACTCCCTAACCGTGGAATATATACACACACTCACCAGCACAAAGTGTGTGGGGTCGCTGGGGAAGGGGGGCGGCAGGAGTGGCGGCAGAGGCGAGGCGCCCATCAGCGGGCCGGTGCTGGGCGTCAGGGCCGGCGGGCGGTGGTCCCCGTAGGGCTCCGGGAAGTAAGAATCCAGGAGGGCGGGGTGGCTCTGGCCCGCGGAGGATTCGCAGGGGAAGGACTTCGCCACACTGGAGGTGGAGAGGTCGTTTGCAAATTGTTTGGTGTTGTGGAAGTCCGAGTCAGAGAGGAAAGATCTTCTGACACCATAGTAACCTGACATGACCGGTGAACCTGTTGCCAAATGAAAAACAAGCAAATTTTTCCTCTTGGGAAAGTCAAGGGATCTCTGTTGCAACTGAGTCCCTCCGTCTATAAAATGATGTTCCTAACACATGCCTTACATCAAGGCTAGCATTTAAGAAGATAAATGCCTTGAAAGTGTTGAATACTGCTGCGTTATCGCTTTATGTTTCAAGTTCACTCTGCCTTTGGGGATGATTTCATTTTGGGTGGTGCAATAACTGTTCAGTCGTTCACTCACTCAGTTTACGTTCACTGTGTGCCTTCTCTGTGTCAGGCACCCGAGCTAGGGAGGGCTTGGGCTTAAAGAGATAAGGAGGCTGGCATTTACATTTTATCCGATGAAGCATCTTTCCCACTGCTTCTGAGTTCTGCTCTGGTAAACAGAGGGCCGTTAACAAGAGGCTGCTTCTGGGCATATTATCTGAGATTCAGTATCTCTAGATAGGTGATACTATAACCTCACCCCAATTCCGGAGTCCGGTTGTATTCTTCTAATCCTCTGTATACTGACTGACTTCTAACATCGCATCTGGCACCTAGCAGGCATGGATTGTTTGCTTTGGAATGACAGGGCTTCTGTGCAGCCAAGTTAGGGGAAGCACCACAAATAATATTTCCTAGGGGACCGGTCTCGTGTTATTTGCTGCCCTCTTGTGGCCATTGTCTGGGCACTGCAAGTTTGGGAAGACAGGGCCTGGCACACAGTTTCTCCCTTGGGGAAAGCAGGAAGAAGCTGAAACTGAGAAAAGTTGTATTTAAGGAAAGGCGAGTGAAATGGATTCAGAAGGGAAAAGATGTGTTTGCTAAAAACTTTCTGAGCTTGTAGTTGAGCTGTAGCAGGAAACACATTATCATCTAGAACATGTTCAGGGGCATGGAGTCAAAGCCAGTAAAACAGTTTCCAGCTGGTGGTGGGTGTGGTCTCATTAGCTAATAACCCCAAACTTCTAATCTGCTCATGAATTTGAAAGCTGCCATTAGGGGTTTTATCATAAGCATATTTCCCTAGAAAAAAAATTGGAGCAAATGACTATTCATATCAGTACATACTGTTCTGTTTCACACCACAAATCTACATGCACAGGAGTGGTTAAGACTATGAATAAAATTAAGGCGACATGAACAAGGCTCCCAGGGCTTATGTCTGTGATTCCAATTTCCAAATATAAATAAGCACACAGAAAAATGCTCTGCTTTCTTAAGTATATAGCTTCTTCCTACTTAAAGAGAAAAAGAATCATTGCAGACGGTGAGAGAAGCTACAGAAATGTTTCCCTTGTAAAAGGGAACAGAACCCAGTGACAGTAAATGTGATGGGGAAACAAGGCAGAGACACCCAAGCGTGCAGTTCTTCTACTGCTCTTGTGCCTTTCCCTTATTCCTCTCTGAAGGTTGCTAAAATGACTGAGAAAGACTGTGCCACTTCTGAGTTTGGGGTCTGGAAGGGACGTGTGTGTGCACACACGAGAGTGCCTAACTCTATTATCAAGAATGCCCCCTGTTTGTCCCTATAGGACTGTTTAGTAAGACGCACGTATTGAAGTGACTACAAGACACTTAGCTCAGTGCCTGGCACTTTGAGAGAGCACTCATTAGATGACAGGTTCCTCATCTGCCCACAGGTCTCTCTGATTGTGTGCTAAAGCAGGTACATAATCCATCAGACCGTGGTCCCAGAATTTTAGACCCTTTGAAATTGTATCAAGGGCCTACATGCCATTCATTGCTTTGGCCCAATAAACTTCTGCTAGGCAAGTGATCAAAGGGCTGCCTTCAAAACAGAATGAATTCTAAATTCGAGAATCACTGAATTAAAGGAGCAACATTTGCAATGTGCTATAAAACAGTTACAGGAGACGGAAGCCCAAATGCCTCGTTTATACTCAGCAAGGCACGAGCCAACGGCTCGGCTCGCTGAGCTGCAGTGCTCACCTGGCATCTGGACGAACGGAGACGGAGGGGAGCCGGCGCTGCCCTGGAAGGCAAAGACAGTGAGTGTTCCCTTCATTAGTTGCACATTTGAATTTTAAAAAATCAGGAATATATTTTACAAGATTTATTTCCTGATACTTTAAAAAAGAGGTTATTTGGATGGTTAGAGTCGGGGGAGTCAGTTGTGAGTAAGAATGCAAGTCCTGGAGAACAGTTTCACCCGGGAGAAAGAGAACCCACAGTGTTAGATTCTGGTAAACATGCCATAAAGCACTGGCTAGAAGAAATGGAATAATTAATTCTTTGTTTTTCACTGTTTGCATTAATGTCCTTCATCAAATAGATATTAAGTATCTGTCTATCTGTATGTCTACAGTTCTTGGCCTTTGGCTTCAACATTGAATGGCCTTTTTCTTTTTTACTACCTGCCTCCATATGGAACTGAAATGCCACTTAGGGTTGGAACCTTATCTGTGACTTGTGTTCAGTGACCAGATCAGAGTGTGGTTCACAGTAAACACAATAAAAATATGTGGAATAAACATATAATCCTCAAAGCCACAGTCTGGTGACCATGGGAGGTTGGGGGTGTGGCCAGTTGAATTAACTGCCCCAAAAGATATGCCGAAGTCCTTCTTAACCTTCAGTACCTGTGAATGTGACCTCATTTGGAAATAGAAACTTTGGGGATATACTAGTTAAATTCAGATGAAGTCATGCTGGATTAGGGTGGGCCCTAAATGCAACTCGGCTGGTGTTCACAGACGACGAGGAGAGAGACACAGGCACAGAGAGGAGAAGGCCATGTGAAGACAGAGGCGGAAATGTGAGCGATACAACGTGAAGCTCAGGAACACCCCGGCCTGCCAGCGACCACCAGAAGAAGTAAGGAAGGGGCAAGGCAGGAGGCCACCCCCAAGGGAGCCTGGCTCTGCTGACACCTTGATTTTGGATTTCCAGTCCCCAGAACTGTGGGACAGTAAGTTCCTGTTGTTTCAAGACATCCCTTCTTCAGCCCTAAGGGACTAGTACAGAGAGTGGCTGATGATGAAAGTGACAGTTGACTACAGCGGGAGAAGGGGCATGGTCTGGGGCAGATGCAGGGAGGAGCGCACTTGAGCAGGTACTGGGGGAGGGTGAGGAAGTGATACCCAAGCTAACCTCTGAAAGGAAGCATATCCAGGAGTGTAGAGCCTTACAATATACAAATGCAAATCTGGCTTCAAGGTGCTCAGGAACAAAGTTAAGTGGAAAATGTAGCTGTTTAAAAAGTTATCCAGTTCCTGGTCTGTGGATCTGAGCTCTTAGCTCTGACCCTCACGGTTCTATAGACTCTCCAATGTGGAAGAGATTCTTACAGAGGGTCTCACCTAACCTAAGTGCTCTCCACACTGGGTGCACTTAGTCTCTAGTGATAAAGAAATCAGCACTCCCTGAGAAAGCCCATTTCTTCTTTGGAGACCTCTGACTCTTACCAAGTAGGCTGAGAAGAGTTACATTATTAATTCTAATCTCTTTGTCCATATGGACAAAAGAAGATTAATCCCATATGTTAATCACTACCATCAATCTACCTAGCTGTCTTAATCAGTTTGGGTGGTTATAGAAAGCTGTGGACTGGGTGGCTTAACGTTTCTTAACAACAGCGAACCTTTCTCTCACTTCTGGAGGCTGGAAGTTGTACATACGTCAGTGAGAGGTTTAAGGTACTGTTTTTAGTCTTTGTTAAATATGTGGGGTGAAATGTTATGGGTAACTGTAAAGAATGGACACCAAGGCTGGAAGTTGGCGACCAGGGTGCCGGGACAGTTGGATTCTTGGGGAGGGCTCTCTTCCCGAGACAGTTGGCTGCTCCCTGTGTCTCCTTGTTTTGGAACAGAGGTCATCTTTCTCATGTATCTCTTCTTATAAGCACACTCATCCCATTCACAAGGGCTCCACTTTCACGATCTAATTACCTTCCAAAAGCCCCATCTCCCGACACCATCACATTGGCTCTTAGGTCTTTAACACAAGAATCCTGGAGGACACAAGCATTCCGTTCACAGCGCCAACCTGGAATTCTATCTTCTCCGGGCAGGATGGCCTCCAACCACTAAGAAGCAGCCTAATATTTAAGAGTGGAGACATTGGAACCAGGGTGTCTGTATTGGAATCCCAGCTCTGTCTCTTATTAGCTATGTGATCTTGGGCACATGAAGATGAAATGACATCATATATGTCAAGCACTTAGAATAGCGTAAGCAGGACATAAGTGTTAGCTATTATCAAATGCATTTTTATGTTCCTTCAAATATATGGTATACTTCTCTAAATGAATTCTAATTTGTGTGTCTTCATGCTTAATAAGTTAACACTTTTGAGTGCAGAAGGGAACTCTGTGGGGTCAGAGGTGAGTGTAGATCAGGTGATTTGTCCAGGGAGGAAAAGAGGCAGCGATGAATTCTGGAAGCACATTTCCCCACCTCGTCCAGCACTTCCTTCCAATTTCTGTCTCTACCTGGCTGGCTATTTCATTGAAGGCTTGTGCCAAGTCCTATATGCTCTGGCTTCTTCTTTCTCAGCCTCCTTCTGTGGGTAAGTAGGGTGTGGCAGGCTGGCAGCTGTCCTGGTGCTGCCTGCGGTGACGTCCCATTGCCCTTCTCTTGCCTGCTTGCGGTAAGTTGCTCTGGCCAAGGCTGGGGCCAGGGGTCAGGCCTCTGTGAGACCCCCTACCCATGCCCAATTAGGCGAACATAAGTGACTATTGTCCTCTCAGCATCTTCAGCCATGCCTTCACCAGTGGCACAGCTGTGCCCCTGGCCTCCACCCGGAGCCTGGGTGGAGCTCGGCCGATGCTGCCACAGCCCCTTCAGCTTCAGACAACTCTGCTGGAAGAGCTTACATCGTATTCTCTCTCACCACCAGCGACCCCCAGAATCTTCTCACACTCATTTTTCTTCTTTTTTCAAAATATGCCCAATTTAACCATTACTGTGAAATTCCCAGCACTGTATCCTGCCCAACCCAATTTTAAAATCTTAAGAGTCTACATAGTTTTCAGAGTCACCTGTGTGGTTGATTTTACTCATTACACAATTGAAAGAAACCCATGTTCATTTCTCCTACCTAACTTTGCCCTCCACCTGCTGTGAAAATTGAACTATTTTCATTCCCATTACAGTTGCCCATAAAATTTTACCTTGTGTACTTAACACAAACTGCAAAGACTCTCTCAATGCTCTCACTGATGGACATGGTCCTTGGAGCACTCACTCTTGTTCGTGCTCTTCTCGTTTATATGTGAATGTTTTCTTCCATGTCAGCTAGTTTCTTCCTATTAACTTACACAAACTAGACCTCGTAGTAATCATCATTTTGTTAAGTAGACCTGCATTAGATTTACTTACATATTCACAGTTTTCTTTGCTTGCTCCTCTTCTAGACTTTCCCCTTAGATTCACTTTTCCATTCTTCTAAAACAGCAGTTTTTAACCTTTTTCATCTCATGGCACACCTAAAGTAATTACTAAAATTCTGCAGCACACCAAAATATATATGTTTTTTGCTGACCTGACAAAAATAGGTACAATTTTGATTTATTCACACCAAACAACTATTGTTGTGTTGGTTATTGTCATTTTTTAAATTTGACAATCTAGGGGAAGAGTGGTCAGTGCCCTGACTAAATAGATAGGTGTAACATGTTTTAAAAATTTCTGTGGCACACCAGTTGAACATTGCTGTTCTAAAGTAAAATTTTAGAACATTCCTTTTATGAGGGTTATATTGGTAGTAAACTGTTTCAGTTTTATTTATCTGCAAATATCATTTCTTTTGCCCCTGTATTTGAAACATAATATTGCTGGGTTCACAATGGTAACTTTGTAGTTATTCTGCTATCAGCACTTCCAAGATATCATTACATGATTGGCAGCTATTGAGGAGTTTGCTACCAACCTCACATTCATTCTTTGTGACAATCTTTCTTTTCTTTCTGAGTGCATTTCAATATACTCCCTTTGTCTTCAGGATTTTTCAAGTTGACTTTATTTTTATCTAGAGGTGTATTTAAAAATTTTATTCTGCTTGTCATAGGATATGCTTCATATGTCCGAGGACTTAGGACTGTGTGTTCCCTAAATTTTGGAAAAGTTTCATCCATCCTCTCTTTAAAGTTTGCCTTGTCTGGATTGTCCCTTCTCTCTCCTTCTGGGACTCTGTTTAAGATGAGTGTTAACGCTCTTACTTTTATCCTCCATATCCCTTAACCACTCCTTTGTTTTCCTGCATTCATGATTCTCTGTTTTATATTTTGATATAGATTAATATAGATTTCTTCAAATCTATATCCAGTTCAGTTATTCTTTCTTCAATTGTAGCTTGCTGTGTAACTCATACACTGAGTTTTTTAAAGTATTCAAAATACTTTTAAAGTATTTAAAAATGTAATGATTACATTTTTTCCATGTCTACAAATTCCATTTGATTAAAAACAATATGCTTGGTAATTTTTGAGTCTTCTGTTGAGTGTTCATTATTAAGTTATTGGTAATTCTAATATCTGAAAGTTCTTGGAATTTAAATGTATTGTTTACTGTTCATGCTGACTCTCATTCTTAATGGTGTATTTTGTTGAGCACTTGGTGACCTTTGATCGAAACTCGTATCTGGTCAACCTTAACCCAGGGAAAATCTGGGGTCCTAAGCTGAGGTTACTGTTCTCCAGAAGATTCATGTCTACATTTCTCGGGAGCCAGCTTCCTTCCAGGCTTCCCAAAGTAATCCCGAACTCCCAGGTTCAGCTCTTCAAACTTGGCAGCAGCTCAAAGACTAGTCTTGACATGCAGAGCTAATTTGGATACCTGCCCTCAGGGGCACCTGCCTTTTGATGTGACCACTTTCTCATCATTCAGTGTCTTAACTTCTGCTCAAATCTTTCTCTACCCTCTCATGTCAACCCTACCCACCCACAGACCCAGTTTTGGAGGTCTTCCTTACTTCCTGCCAGCTCAGCGGCTCAGTGAATGTGTTTCACGCAGGACCCAGTTTGTCATGGGCGAG